CCTGAGGCGCCCCCCACACGGAGAGCCGTGCGGCAGCTCCCCACCCCAGCTCACCTCTGCTCCGCCTCCTCCCCGAGCACGCCGCCCCCGCTCTAATTCTCCTCCCCTCCCAGGCTTGCGGCGCCAAACAGCTGATTGGCGCTGCAAGCCCGGGAGGCGGGAGAAGTGGAGCGGCGACCGCACGCTTGGGGAGGGGGCATAGGAACGCTGTAAAAAAAAAAAAAAATTGGGGGCACCGCTTTTTGGCACCCCCAAATCTTGGCACCCTAGGCAACCGCCTAGTTTGCCTTAATGGTAGCACTGGCCCTGGTGAAACCTATGACACTCCCCACACGTTCCTTCGTGCCCCCCTAGGAGGCTGTGGGGAAGGGGGAGGAGGGGAAGGGGGGAGCAACACGAAGCGCTCCATGAATCCAGGTCACTTTCCCCGCATGGGTTACTGCTCTCCTGTCCTTCCCTTAAGCAGCCCTGGTGGGGAAAGTGCACAGAGCCCTGACGCCACTCCTCGCTCCCCCCCCCCAGCCCTTAGGGGTGTGTGGAGGAGCAGCATCGGAGGGGGGAGAGCGAGCAGCAATGCCAGCTGCTCCCTGCATCCAGGTCATTTCCCAATGTGGGCGCAGGAGCGGGGTGCACGGGTTAGGAGCAAAGAGAGTGCAGCACAGGGGTTGGGGTGCAGGAGGGGGGATGAGGCAGGGATTAGGGGCAACAGGGGGGAGCTCACAAGGGCCATAGGGGGCAGGCTCCATGCCCATGTGGACTGGGGCACCAAAATACAAGTTCACCCAGGGCACCATTTTCCCCGAGGCCAGCCCTGCACAAGAAATGCGGCCTGATCTCCGTAACAAGCAAAGGCAGGCTGCAAGGAACGCTTTATACAAGCTGCCCCCCGGGGGGTGGGTTCGCTGGGGAAGAGGGTGCTAGGGTGAAGAAAGCAACTTGCAAACTCACCTCTGGCACTACGTAGCTCAGCCTCTTTAGCTGCTTCAGGCTCCTACGCTAAGATCCAAGGGTGTTTATGCATCAGCCCAGAAGGGTCGATCCGAGAGGGCGGGGCGCTCTCCCCACAGATGCAGACGTTTCTCCCGCCTGATAACAGCGAGAGGAGAGAGCGAGCTAGAGGCGGAGCTCTCTGTGTGTCTGCTGGCTGCCTGCGGCTCCGAGCTGGGGGTGGGACTGGGGGAGAGGAGGCAGGAAACACGCGGCTGCGCTGCAGCTGTGTCCCTGGGGGATGAGCGCAAGCAGTCTGGCCGCTGGGGCCTGGCTTGGGTGTAAGTGAGGTTTTTGCTTTACCATGTGCTATCTGTGCGAGATCTGGAGCTGTAAGCGAAAGGCCGTATTTTGAATGGGATTGTTTACAGGCACTAGCGGGTAGGTTTTTTTTAAAGCTCTTTGTCTCATGGCAACTCAGGAAAGAACCAGAAAATGTAGCCGGGGTACTCCAGACAGCGATCGGAGCTGTGAACACAGTGGGTTTGTTATAGCTGTCTCCCGTGGTGGTGGAGATTTTTGTTATTTATTTAATCTCTTGCGCAGGGCTCTGAAAATCCAAGGAGCTAGAAGTAATATTGTTACTCAATTCAGTATGCAGTTGATAATGCAACCGGTGCTGCTATTAGAGATCTAGCCATTTGTTAAGAAAAGGCCTGATGCCGGAACTGGAGGGGGAAAACACACACACATAGGCTTTCTCGCTTACAGCTGTAGACCTGTGGAAGAAGTGATTCATGTGTGTTAGAATCGTCATCCTCTCCCCTAAAAAGATATGCTCCTTTTATTGGGAAATTCACCCACACCTGTACATGCACATTCAAAAATGTTATGCCCTGGAAACGGGTGCTGGAAGTCGAGGTGCTGGGGGTGAAGGAACACCCTCTGCTTGAAGTGGTTTGCATCATATACAGGGTTTACAGTTTTGTTCAATGGCTCTCAGCAGCCCCACTGTACAAATTGTTGCAACACCAATGTCAGGAAATAGACATTACTATGTCATAGTGTGTGTGGTGGTGGTCCTGCACTCAGCAATGGTATATTGTGCTTACTTGATAGATTTCACTGTCAAAATTAGTGCTGTCCAAATCGACTATCTTCTCATTTTGTTCTGGTGTCTTCTTTTTGAAGTATGGCTTGCCCCCATTAATTCCTATAAATTTTTTTTCTTATAGTTAAGCTATGGTTCAGTTCAGTTAATGACATATTGTCATGTGTCACTGTCCACATTGCAGTAACAACCAAATGCTAACCTGTAAGATGTGCTTACAAGTAATTTAGTCAAATATATCAAAGGAATATGTGTAACTTGACTACTTGAAATTTATAACTGTGTAGGTATATTATGAAATATTTTATATGTTGTAGGTCAGAGTTATGGTTGTTATTGGAATAATGTTAATTTTTTCCATGCCAGTATTGTCTTTCATTGAATAAATGAACTGCAAAGGTAATGGAATATTTATGTAAATTATGTGTGTTATGTTCATACTTTTAAATGCAGTGGTTGTGTAGCTGTGTCAGTCCCTGGATATTAAAGAGACAATGTGGGTGAGGTAATATTTTTTTATTGAACCATCTTCTGTTGTAGCTTGAAGGCTTGTCTTACCCACAGAAGTTGGTCCAATAAAAGGATACTACCTCACCCACCTTATCTCTCTCATACTTTTTAATTGAAAATAGTTATTTTAAGTGTTCTTGCTGTGAATTTTATATATGGGTTATATTATTCACTGTATCAAGATAACTGTAAATTAATAATGTTTCTGCATGGAAACTGCCTTATTTTTAAATGTAGAAATGGAAGTGCCTCTGTTCCCCAAGGGGATTATGCCCAGTTCTTAGGTAAGGCGGCAGCATGGGATGGAAGCTTTTTGCTTCCCTCTCCTCGCATTGCTCATTCAAGTGCTTGTGTGTCCTGCGTTTTCTGAGATGAAAAGCTGAAGCATGTTGAATATGAAGAACTTTAATTTCTTTTGTGTATATTTGTAAAAGTTTGGAATGAGTAATCTTCTATATGCAAGAACTGAAAGAAATATCAAAAAAGAACCTGGCTGTTTTCCCATTTTTCATTCAGGTTGTATACCTAAGGTGAAGTTTTTCTTACCATGTGGAAAAATAGAGGTCGGACCAGTAGAAAGAGAAGAAGAAAACAATTTAGTAGTTTGCCTTCAAATGGAGGTACTGTATGTTTTCATCTATTCTTCATTTGCATTCAGGGAAGCAACAGAATAATTAGTTACTTAGCAAGGGATCTTTCTACAGTCTGTACATGTTCGAACTTCTACATGTCATGACAAGAGTAATCATGGACATCAGCCGTTACATGCGAACAACCATTTTATTTTCTGGTTTTAATATGCTTTAACTTACAGTCTTCTTTTGTCCATGTTTAGCTTTGTGAATTCTGTTTTCTGGTTGAAGGATGATACTGTATTACTCTTTGAGTTTTATCTTGTAACATGCTGAGTGATTCTTGGTCATGCTGAATACCCTCAATTTCCAGTGAAAACAGTGACATTAAGGGTATTCAGTACCTAACAGAACTGATGCCTTTTTCACTATCTTATGGTGTGTCATGTTATAAAAGACCATTCTTCTGTATACGGTAAAAATCTACTACATCAGTTTTCAGAGTAGCAGCCGTGTTAGTCTGTATCCGCAAGAAGAACAGGAGTACTTGTCTCTAAGGTGCCACAAGTACTCCTGTTCTTCTTACTACATCAGTACTTCTCAACCAGGGGTACTCGGAGGTCTTCCAGGGAGTACATCAACTAATCTAGATATTTGCCTAGTTTTACAACAGGCTACGTAAAAAGCACTAGTGAAGTCTGTACAAACTAAAATTTCATACAGACAATGACTTGCTTATACTGCCCTGTATACTATACCCTGAAATGTAAGTACAATATTTATATTCCAATTGATTTATTTTAGAATTATATGGTAAAAATGAAAACATAAGTAATTTTTTAGTAATAGTGTGCTGTGCCATTTTGTATTTTGATGTCTGATTTTGTAAGCAAGTAGTTTTTAAATGAGGTGAAACTTGGGGATACGCTAGACAAATCATACTCCTGAAAGGGGTACAGTAGTCTGGAAGGTTGAGAGCCACTGTACTACAGTACAAGTGCACCATGTTTTTAATTAAACTGTATGCTGTAGGTTAATCACTCTTCTCTTCATTTAGTAAACCAGAGTCACATACTGGAATATATACAACTTAGGAAGTGGCTGAAAGAGAGGGGGTTTGATGACCGTAATTTAAGACCAGCACAGTTTTCAGGTAATACTTTACTTGCTTATTGATCCTAGGTTGTCTGGTTCTCACTGTGGTTTTATCCCCATCTGGCTGGTTTTCTTCAGGAATGAGTATTCAGTGTACAGACATTAAGGACCCAAATCCTTCAAACAAATGCACACATGAATAATTTCACTCACACAAGTAGACTCTGGCCCACATACTGCAAGCTGTTCCTCACGAGGGGGTTCTTATGCTGTGCAAATCGCTACTGAAGCCAAAGGGGCTCTGCACGGGCAGTGGGGTACACCCATGTAGTACTTCTTGTAGGATTGCTGTCATAGGCCTTAAAGAAGCTGGTCACATTTGTAAAATACTGTTGCATAAGTGTTTACAGGCTCAGGACCTAAGCTTGTAACCATTTCCTCGTTCATTCTGGCAGACTAACTAAACCTATCAACATGTAGAGATGGAATGCAGATAGCAACAATAATAAATAGTTCAAATTTGAATGGATTGTTTACTGTGTGTGTCTTTAATAATAATCTTCAAAAATCTTTACAGAATTAAATTAGAAGGCAGCAGATAGTACATAGTATAAATCGAGAAACAACTGTGCAGAGATATTGCAGAGTGACAGCTAAAACACTGAGTGTAAAATAACTAGCAAAGAGGGAGAAGCACAAGAAGGGGAGAAAAAAAGTGGTTTTTAAGCCAAGATTTGGAAAAAAAATGAGTGAAGCTGAGGGATGCAGGAAGCTTGTTCAGATGGCAGGAGCTGTAGAGATGAAGGCTTTCATCAGTGATAAGAATGTGTGAGACAGCAGAGAAGAGACTGAAGCTAGAGAAAGGAGGGGAGAGAGAGAGAGAAATAAGAGCCCATATCTTCAAAGGTAATTAGGTGCCTCTCTCTTCTATTTAAATCAATAGGTGTTAAGTGTCTAAATACCTTTGAGTATCTGGGCCAGGATCCATACATAAGCTTCAGCTAGTCCATGGGGGACTTTTAAAAACGGTTTTTATGTTATATAAGAAATATGTTCATTTTCATGTTTCCTTTTTCAGACCAGTTTTAATTCATAGTGTTTTGTTGTAGTCTTATGGAGAAGTCTTAAGATTGTATACTGTATTGTAATCATTCTTTTTGTTCCTGCTATTTCAGATACGGGAAGAGGCCTAATGACCACAAAAGCCTTTCAGGTTAGTATTTGTTTGTTTGTTTGTTATATGGCTTTTATTACATGTACTGCAAGAGCAGCTGGAGACATTCTGGGCCCTAATCAAAATTGCTCCTGGGAGAGCCTAAAAGACTAGAGGGGAGTCTAAGACGATATAGTTTATAATCAGGAGTTGGAATCCCCCATGCTAACATAAGGCTCCGTGTACTCTGCACGGCAGTGTGGACTACATGGGGTGTGAATTGCAAAGGGCACCAAAATGTTATGCTTTAACTGTCCTGTGTGGACACTGCAGGCATGAACTAAAAGGTACCTAGTTTATATTAATGTAGTCCTGTTCGAAAGGGGCACAAAGGAGCTATAATCTGGGTGTAAATGCCCAGTAGAAAATTCCTCTGTCAAAGGGGTCTCGCTCCAAGTGTGGTGTATTCTGTTCAAGGGGAAAGGTGATGCTTCTCAGCCAGTCGCCAGCCAACCCAGAAACTGTTTATCCTCTGTCAGGACATACTGCACAAACTTCCTACATTGCTGGACCACCAGAATTTTACAACTATAATGATCCGCGCTGAGGCTGTGATTGTATCCATTTGCCTCCTGGCTTTGATGTGCTCTGGGACATTTCTCTACACTCATGAATTGTGCATCCGTGGGTCATTTTC